AAGTACTCACTGTCAACGACCGATGGATAATGATTGCCTTCAATGGCCTGGCTGCACCCCTGCAAGTCCCGTGAACTCCCGAAGAGGAGCAGGAAGCGCGGCGGCCTTCTGCAGTGCGTCCAACACGATGTAGGTGGGGCCATACTGCTCGTCGAACTTGCGGATGTAAACCTTGCCCGACCACATCCCGCCGGCCCAACCTCGAACACTTCGGATGGTGAACTGATGCGTAGCACGGGTTCTGTGCGCCGTGTGATGGCATGGCTGGTGGCTGCTGACAGTGGCATGCGCCCCATAGCTTGTTGTTTACAATTGGGTATCTACAGCCAACTGGAACAATCGCACGCACCTCGCGCGGTCTCAAATTCTAGCTAGCATGGGCGTCATGGCATAGCGCGGAAAAGAGAACGTGCAATGGTAGTCCAGAGTAACACGATGTCGATAGGGTCATCTGCTATTTGGAACTCCGTGCACGCCCAATTGCCTCGACGAGGGACGCCGTGTATCTACTTAAATTACAAAGTTGAAGACTCCTGGAGTCTACATAAGCAGCCTATTCAACGGGTGGGATAAACCACTTGCAACCAACTGCCAAGTCCCTTGGTGCACTCTCGTGATCTCTTGCGAGGCTGAATGCCGGCGTTACACGGCATCGCATGGCATACAACGGCGTTGCACTTCGTGATGTATGTTAGGAGGGCACGTCGTGGTGTGCCATAGCACAGTTCACAGCATTGCGTAGCATGGCGTGGCACAGCCTGCCACTGCATATGGTAGCATCACATGTCGCCACATCAGATCTAGTGACATCGCAACGCATTGCAAATCGTTGCATGCCATACGTCATGCCACATAATGGCCTAACACAAATATGTACCGTATGACCTGGTGTAGCAGATCCGTGCATAAATACGCAGCATGGCGGACAGTTCAATGACACATCGATGCGTTGAAGTGCATTGCGTAGCGTGGCACAACATCGTACGCTACACAATTAACGATCATGTGTCTCCTGACTATTTGATAGCATGGCGTAGTATGCCATAGCGTAGCGCCGCATTGTGACTGGTTACAAAACATAACATGGCGCAACGCTACATGACAACATATACGTCATACTACGTCGTACCACATACCGACATCAGCTGACATGCGGACTAGATCGGACCAGAGCAGTGCACAGCACATCGTCACAATTAAACGCATATCGCATCGTAGCACGTCAGCGAACAACATGGTACAGCATCGAATGGTTCTGCGCAACGCAGCTCGGCATTGCTGAACACAACGCACCACTGACCACGACACCCGAGCAGAGCTCTTGTGGCTAAAAAGCGGCGCCGCCCACCCCCACGGCCTCGAGAGACTAGACAATACTGCCTCGCAAGCTAAGCAAAACTCCCGAAGGGATATCCAATTTCTGGGGGACCGAAACTTGGGCCACCTAACGTCGCACATCGCCTTTCATGCCTTCGATGAAGCGAAAGAGGGAAAGCCAGTGGCCAAACCCTTCCGAGACAAGTGTCACTGGGAAAAACTGCCCTCTACGTGGTTTGGGAAAAACTGCCCTCGACGTGGTTACCCCTCGAGCTTGCCGAAGCGCAGAGACGGCAATCGCAGGGGCCAGGACGTTCCCACGCGATGCGCGGTCGTCTTCACACCTTCGCGCCGCCCCCTTGGACAAGGGCAGCCGCTCCGGACCACACCACGACGCGAGAAGCTCGGCCACCTGCGCGCCCGCGGAGTTGAAGAGATGCGCGCCTTGTGTGGTGCACCCTCGGGACCCCTGGGGACCATTATAGAGGCCTCCGAGATGGGGTCCGAGTACTCCGAGTTTCTTAATAATAAGCGTCGGGGGGGCGTCACCCCCGCCGACAGCCCCACATCGACCCCCGTCGCGGGCAGCCACCGCGCACCAAAGGCGCTCCGACCGCTGTCGCGGCGCGACGACGGGGCGAGGTTGACCCCCGTCGGAGGGGTATCCCCCCCCCAGGGCTAATTAAGACACCCAAGAGTAGGTGGGATCGGACTGTTGCACCGCAGCGCCGCTGATCGGCGACATCGGCGATGCGTCGGCGACGTCGGCGTGGAGAACCTCAGGCTCCACATGGAGTCACATCGCCGATGCATCGGCGATTCTGAAGGTAGGAAAGGGGTGTGGCAGAAAGGGGTATGGTGCCAATCGTGGAAATGGCGATGCTGTCTGTGATGAATAACGTCGCCAGAGTCCCCTCTGCGTGAAACTAACACCACACCCCTTTATACCATACCCCTTTCCCATCTCCAGAGCGATGCGGCGGGATCCTCCGACCCCATCTACCCGAACCCCATTTGGAAACCTTCAGGGCTACCCTACCTGAGTTGGCCTCGGAAGCGGCAGGGCCGCTTCTTCATCATTTCCGGGCAAAGCGTCTCTTGAACATGAAAAGGATGAAAACACCGCGATTGGGCACGGAAAAAAAACGCTCCGAGATTGGAACTAGAACCAGAGCGAGAAACAACATGCGACGGAACTAAGAACGAACAAAAGGGCCGTAACAGGCAAAGAAACGGCAGAACGGAAACGGCAAAGAGACGGCCCTGTTGATTCCAGGACCAACGCAGCACCCAACTGCAACCCTCCATCCCATCCCGCATGTGTCGCTCCCCAGCACGACACACCCAAGGGAGCCAACATCAGCCTTCGGTCGGGCATGTCCCCCTACAGGCAGATTTTGGACGAAAACAAAAAAACGCAAAACAAATACTCAACATGATCATGGCGAAGGACCCAACCATAGCAGTTGTGAGTAACGCAATCGATGGTATCGTCTTCGGTGGAGCTCCCCATGGGGCCACGAAACGTGTGAGGGGTGTGCCGAATGGAAAAATCGTCCCCGCACTATCTTTTGACTATTCTGTATATTCCTCCTGTAGAGGGACGTGCCCGACTTAACGCAAGAGTGACCCTGGGTAGGAGTGAGGGACCTTTGGTGCGCGGCCTTCTGGGGCCCGGGGGGCCTCGCGCGCGGCGATCGGGGGACCCTCTTGGGCCCGCACCACAGGCCACTCTGGCGAAAGGTCACTCTTACGCCTCGGCGATCCCAGACCCAGCCGGCGCAAAAGGCACGTCGCTGGGCCCCTCCCCCCCAGGTGACGCCCAACGGTTCGGGGGCGACGACGGGGGCGAACAGCCCAGGGGAGAGTAATACATTCATCCAGGGGCGCCGATGGTCCATGCCTTCGGCGAGGCTCCCAGGCGAATGCGTGTAACTCGGGGGCGGCCAAGAGGGGGGCGGCCAAGAGGGGGGGAGGGGAAGGGGGGGGGGGGGGTGGGGGGCATCCCCCCCCCTGGGCGCCCCCGGCCAACGCCCGCCCCCCCGAGCAACGCCCGCCCCCGAGCAACGCCCGCCCCTGGGCTGCTCGCCCCCCCTCGTCGCCCAACGCTCTGCAGAGGGCCGTGCCCGACGGAACGTGAGCCCACCGGGCGGGCCCCCCGCGGCGCGCGCGCGATGGCGGCGGGCGCGCTCCGCTCCGCCTGCCCCCCGCGCTCTCCCCTGTCGCCCGCGGGCTTGGGTCGGGCACGTCCCCCCCCTACAGGCGGACTGTGGCTGAAGACTCGAAGAGCTACTCAAGCGAATGCTCAAACATAGTCAGATGTGGACGAACAATCAAAAATATCCACAGGAAAAATATTCAAAAATGGTCAAAATTGGGCGAAAAATACCCCAAACAGGTTCAACAATAGGCAGACAGTACACAAAACACATCGTCCCCAGACTATGTTTTGACTGTTTCTTTGGATGTTCCTCCTGAGAAGGGCACAGACCTGACTTCACCACGGGCCCGCCTTCAGGTCGTTCTCGTCGATCATGCGGGTGCCGTTCTCGGAGGCCCGGACGACCTCCTGTAGAGGCCAGCGCGCGCTCTCGAGGGGAGACGCGGACGCGCGAGAGAGAGAGAGAGAGAGCACAGTCGAAATCAATAGTAAGGACGGGTGGTAAGGACGCAAAGGCCTTGGACGCCGAAAATATAACTTTTTAGGCGGTGGACTACCAACAGCCTGAAGGGCTGGCCGATGAAAACCGCGAAGGACGAGCCGTAGAGGCTAGGAGGCAAGGGTACCCTCAGGACAGCTGTGTGTCCTTATTATGAGTGTTTCCTGTAGGGGAACGAGCAATGACACAATCATAAAAACTCTAAGGTCCGCGCAGATTTCTCGGATCGGCGCTGGATCCCCCTCCCTGGCGCGCGGAGCACGCCAGGGGAGGCGCCTGAGGCGCCGCCAAGGGGGTCCAGCGTGGCTCCGAGAAATCCGCGCGGACCTCTGGGTTTTAATGTTTGTGTCATTGCTCGTTCCCCGAGAGAGAGAGAGAGAGAGAGAGAGAGAGAGGGGGAGGGGGAGCCGAAGTGCCAGGAACGCCCGGGAGCCCAGGCCACCGAGCGGAGCCCGCCGCCCGAACGCGCCCTCTGGCGTGCCGGGGCCGCCTCGTCCGCCGGGCGGCCGCCCCCCCTCCCCCCTCAGGGCCTCGCCTGCGCGCCTCTCTCGCCAGATCCTGGTTGCCCTGGGTCGGTCGCTCGCGGGCTGCGCTGCAGATTGGCGGCGAGCAGAAGGGGGTAGGGGGAAGGCTTCTTAGAAGGAGGCTGCTTCTTAGAAGGCGACGGCCTTACATATATAGATAAGGCCCGCGCCTTCTAAGAAGCAGGGGTGCTTCTAAGAAGCCCTCCCCCCTCCCCCCACCCCCCTCTGCGCGTGGCTGAGTAGAGCGGGCGCAGGCCACAACTCGGGCGGGTGGTGATGGGGGGGGTGGCCCACGTGGGGGGTGAAGGGAAGGGCCCCCCAAAGGGGCCCTTCTGGGTACCCACTGGCTCCAACAAGGGGCCCTGGAGGGTCACTTTAGGGCCCTCTCCTTCCCCCCCCCCCCCGGTTTTAGGTCGCCCACCCCATGACCACCCGCCCGAACAGAGTCCCGACAGATCTTCGGTGCCAGAGTGCGAACGTAGAGCAGGTTCGTGTCGTGACGACCCTGGCGTTGGTTTCTGACCCCGCGTGGATGGTGCAACCTGGAGCGATCGGGGACTTTCCGATCACCAGATCGTTCCATGTTGGCTGGTTCTGGGCCACTGGCGGCGTTCAGCTTTGAACGCCCCTGGCGGGGTCGCTGCAGCACCTGCACGACACGAACCTACTGTAAGCAAGCAGGCCCCATCGACAGAAACATCTGACCGATGTCACGCTGCCAACACTCGGTGGCGAGCCCAGGGGGAAGTGAGAAGGAGAAGGCCTTCTCAGGAGGCTCAGAAGGCCCCCGGTTTTGAGAAGTCTGCTAGGCCTTCCCCGAGGACGCAGACGACTTCTACGAGGGCGCGAGGCCCGAAAAGCCCCGCCGCCTTCTCAGAGGGCCTTCTCCTTCTCCCTTCCACCCCAAGCGCGCCGCCGAATATGTTTTTGGGGTCATAACTCAGGTCTCCGGCGGCCGTTCGGGGCGATCCTGGCACCCCCGGAACGCTCTCGGCGAAGTGCATCAGCTGGAAAGCCGCCGAGAGCCGACGAAGACTCCCGAAAACCTCTGGAACATCGAACCCGAAGCTTCCCCCCCCCTCGCCGCCGAACACACACAATGCGATCGCTCTATCCGAACCTCTCTCTGGTCGGGCGGAGAGCTCAGAATCGAATCGACAAGCCGGATCAGCGATCCACATGAACTGGATCGACGGAAATCAGCAACCGAATCGGGAAAAGTCGGATCGGCAGACATCGTCAGGCTAGTAGGCCTCCATTGAGAATTCGGACCCCAAATCGGCGTCCGAAATCGAATCGAATCGGAATCGGAAACCATCGAAATCGACTCGAATCGGTCCCAGACTTCAGTTTTGATAGTCCAGGGGCCCAATTGCCTTAGGTCGGGCATGCCCTCGTACAGGCGGATTTTGGAAGAAAAACAAGAAATGGTCGAAACATGTTCAATTCTTTTTGTATAATCGAAATAATCGAATCGAATCAGAATCGGAAGCCATTTGCAAGCTAGTAGACCTCCATTGAGAAAACGGCTTCCAAATCGGAGCCCGAAGCCGACTCGAATCGGAATCGAACCGAAGTACCGAAGCCATCGAAATCGAATCGAAGCCATCGAAACCGAACCGAATCGAAGCCGTCGACATCGAAGCGAAGCGCAGCGAAGCGGAGCGAAGCGACACAAGCCCCGTGCGCCGAATCGGAATCGAATCGGAGGAATCGAAGCCATCGAAATCGAATCGAAGCCATCGAAACCGAACCGAATCGGGGCCATCGACATCGAAGCCAAGCGGAGCGGAGCGAAGCGACGCGAGCCCCGTGCGCCAGTCGAGCCACTGGCACGGGTCTCGAGGCGCAAACGCCTCCCAGAGCGCGCGCCCCTCGAGGCCGCGGAGGCACCCCTCCCCCGCCGCCGGGGGGCCCGAGGCACCCCCAGGCGACGCTGGCATGAAGTCGGGCGTGCACTTCTACAGGAGGAATATTCAAACATAGTATATAAAAAGGAATCTGGGGCGATTTGTCGAATATTCTTGACTACTCTTGAATACGACTCGATTATTTTCATTTTTGTCCAAAACCCGCTTGTAGGGGAACACGCCCGACTTAAACGCTGGTAGCTCTTTTCTGTAACGGGCATACAATCAACCCCGATCATAACCACCCCGACACGCGAGGCCGTTTCGTAGACGCACCCACTGAAGGAATCGAACAGGGCAAGGCTGTTCAGAAAACGCCCGGGGCCTTTTAGTAAACGTCAGTTGTCGGGTCCGGGTGGTTTGTCCTCCCTTGGTTCCTGGAGCCACTCGGTCCACTCGTGCGTCGAAGCTACTACAACGCACCTCCGTCAATTCGAGTCGGACCCGAGTCGAACCCGAGTCGAAATTGAATCGAACTCGAGTCGAACTCGAGTCCAGGCGCTGCCGCTCCCAAAGCGTGCCCCTCAAGACCACGGGCCCCCCTCCGCGGGGGGCCCGAGGCTCACCAAGCGACGCTGGCTGCTCATTCCGGGGACCTTCCTGGAGCCACTCGCTCCGCTCTCGGGCGTTGGCAGAACTGGGTTAAGTGGGACGTGGTTTGGTGATGTGTCCTGGGGGACGCGCCCCCCCGCCCCGTTCCTGGTTCAATGGTTCCGGACAATTGAAAGGCTCCCGGGGCCTACTACTAACCGGGTCCCCTTACTTGGGGTCCTGGCTTTACCCGTTACTCGAGCGCCGAAGCTACGTCGAAAGTCCGTCGATGCGAGTCGAGCCCGAGTCGAGCCTGAACTGGAGCCGAACTCGAATCGAACTTGCGGCGAACTTGGGTCGAACAGATCCGTGAGGTGGTCCCCAGGAAGGTCCCCAAAACGAGCATCTAAGCAACAAAAACCCCGAGGTGGAGCACAGCCGTACTCTCTGCTGGCTGGACCTCGAAGGGTGCAGTCAATCCGAAGAAGGAGTAGGGAAACGAACTCTATACACCGACGCGTTGTTCGGCCCTGCACTGAAATTTGCACAGGAAAGCGGGCCTTGGTGTGTACAGGACCCTGGTGTATTCATTTTTCGTTGTTTCCACAGGAAAAGGATAAAAAGAAGTATACGCCATACCACCCCGACGTCGTCCCCGACCCTCAAACAGTCCTGGTATTGAAAATCAGCCCGCCACTGGTATTGTATATGCTCCAATTTCCGAATAAGTGTGCAAGGGCCTCGGAAGGCCATGTCGGCACTTTGCGAGCGGGGCGCAGCCACCGAAAGCGGCCAAGGATGGGCCAGAGGGGAAGGATGCAAGGGCAACCTCGGAAAATTGCTCATCCTTGCTACAGCAGGGGGCCGACCAAAAGAAACCTTCGACAAGAAACCCAACCCCGAGACATCTTCGACGAGCCGAAATCCTTCACATCAATAATTTTGGGTCTCGGAACCCACAGGGCGGTTTTTCATGTTTTCCATTCGACGTTCCATGAAGCCCGATGTCATTCCGAGGCCGCGCGTCGAACGTTTTCGATGGCGCGTCGCGTTATGCGATGTCACGTGCGTTGGGGTCGTCAAAGGCTTGCGTGCTTGTTGCGGATCGGTTGATGCGGGCTGGGGTTTCTCAGGATTGTACATTTGCTTTGCGCTGGGGCGGTTTCGACCCCCATCCCTGGCTGATCCACCCCGCGGGTAACGTCGCAGGAAGAGTTCGATCATTTCGTTCGTAGTGCCAGCGATGCTGTCGCGGACATTGACCGCGCCACGGGGGGGGGTCGTCCAGAAATTTCCTACCATATTGCAGTGTTGGTTCTTCGTTTTGAAGAGACACCGCCCCGCGTCATTCCTTCCGGCCCCCTCCCTCGTCCTCCCTCTTCGCGTATCTGCCCCTGCTCTCCGCGTGTCTCCGTCGTCATCGTCCATCGTCATCGTCGCCATCACCATCATCATCAGCATCATCAGCATTCTCGCCGTCTCCATCAATACTACCACCATCCTCATCAACATCATCAAAAAACCCCCCTTGTTCCCCCGCGTCTCTGCTTCGCCACATCCCCCGCAAGTCTCGTGGCCTTCTGAGGTGCTCCACCGAAGGCCCCATCGGCAGGGTCCTTAGTGCGCCGCCCAGCCCATGTCGGCACGCCCCTCAGACGCTTCGTGTCCCCATGAGGAGCTCATCGGAGGTCCCGGCGGCAAGGTCCACATGCCGTCGCCCAGGCCACATTGATGACACCCTCAAACATTTCGTGCCCCTATAGGCAGCTCCACCAAAAAAAGGTCCCAGCGGCAGGTTTCCCAGGCCGCCGCCCAGCATATTTCGGCATACGTTTCACACGCTTCGTGGCCCCACGGGGAGCTACACCGACGGCCCCACAGGCAGGGCCCACAGGCCGCCGCCCAGCCCATTCCGTCATACGCTCACAAGCTTCGTGGCCCCATTGGGGAGCACCCCCGATGGCCCAAGCGACAGGGTCCACATGCCGTCGCCCAGCCCATGTCGTCCACGAGTGGCGCCCAGCACGGCTCCAAGAGCGCCCCAAGAGGCGCCGAGTAAGTTGCACCCTCATGCAAATAGTTTTTGTCACTTGTGGGGGTCCTCTTGGGGCCCTCTTGGAGCATTCTTGGGGCCCTCTGGGAGCGTTCTTGGGGCCTTCCCGGGGCCCCAGTGGGCCCTCGGAGGGCCCCAAGAACGTTCCCCGAGGGCCCCAAGAGGGACCCCCCAAAGTGGTACAAAGAATTCGCGCGAACGTGCAATCTGTTGTAGGCCTTTCGGGGCCCTCTGGGAGCTCTCTTGGGGCCCCCATTGGTGGCGCCTTGGGGCCTTGGGATGGCTCCAAGAGGCTTCGGGATTGCCCCAGACCGCCACAAGACAGCTCCGAGACGGCCGTCGAGCACCACGGGTGAAAGCAAGTGAGGCTAGGGAACAGGGCCTCTGGTAAGCCGCCACTGCGCCCCCTGGACTACCCAGACAGCGAGGGGACCTGAAACGCCCTGGGGCTCCAGGGGCCCCAGATTAGTGAAGTGAAGGTTTTTGCCATGCAAGCACCCCGAAATTCTTCACTTCACTAAACCGGACCCAGGACGAACTCGCTACGCTCCAGTCCCGCGGGAGATCCAAGACTCCCGCCGCCGCCCGGGGACGTTGCTGCATTGCGGTGCTCTGGTCACTGTTAATGGCTTCCGCGGGCTGCAGCGGCTCACTTCCATGACTACCCCGACTCACGAATCCAGTGGTTGGTCTGGCTCTATGGGTTGGTTTCGTTGTGTCGGTTGATTTTATGCTTGGTTGGCGGTCGGTGGATTTCGCGTTGTTCATTGGTGTCGTGAAGTGATTTGTCGTTTGGTTGGTCAGTGCCGTTTTGTTGATTCGTGCCGTTTTGTTGGTTGGTGTCGTTTCGTTGGTTGGTGTCGTTTTGTTGCTTGGTGTCGTTTTGTTGCTTGGTGTCCTTTTGTTGGCCGGTGTCGATTTGTTGGTTTGTTGGTTGGTGTCGGTTTGTTGGTTGGTGTCGTTTTGTTGCTTGGCGTCGTCCTGGCGGCGTGGCCGATAATCGGCGGCCTGCAATGGCGCCAGGATTTGTTTCGGGCCAGCCTTGATCGCCCTCATCATTCTCATATTCGTCAGCGTCAGCACTCGTCGCCCCCATCCGCGCACACATGCGGCCCTGGTACGGCTCTCACGCGGCCCTGCGAAGGCCTTCACTGTGCTCCCCAAAGCTTTCTGAGGGGCCCCCCAGAGGCCCCAAGAGGGCACTGGAAATTGTCGCTTCCAACTCCGCCAGGCGGAGGTCAACAAGGGTCTCACTGGTGCACTTCCAGGAATCGTCGTTCGATCCTCTTGGGGCCCTCCTGGGGCCTTCTGGAGCCGTCTTGGAAGCTCCGAGCGGCTCCATGAAGGCGCCGGGCGATATCGCTTCCAATTCCGCCAGGTGGAGTTAGACCAGGGGCTCACTGAGGCCCCTTTTTGCGCCCTCCTCTGCCTTTGAAAAAGCCCCGATGGGGTTCTTCAGTGCCGTCTTAGGGCCCCTAAGAGGCCTCCAGTAGGGTATTGAAGTTATCGCTTCCAACTCCGCCACGCGGAGTTGAACCCAGGGCGGCTCTCTATGGCCCTTTCGGGGCCTTCTTAGAGCTTTTCTGAGGCCCTAAGTGGGCCCTGGGAGGTGTCATTTTCACGGGCGTTGAAAGTGACACCGCGGAGGGCCCTCTTGGGCCCTTCTTGGGGCCTCTCTTGGGTCCCTCTGGGAGCCCTCTTGGTGCCGCCCTGGGGCCTTCTCGGGGCCTTCTTGGAGCCTTTCTGGTGCTCTTTAAGTGGGCCCTGGGAGGTGTCACTTTCACGGGCGCTGAAAGTGACACATCGAAGGGCCCGCTTTCCCTCGTAGCGCTGCCCGTGGCCGGGGCATTGTGCAGCGCATCCCTCGTCGAACGTATTTTGTCGGACGCGTGGTCGAATTCCGCCAGTTCGGTCGAGATGGTGGTCAAGCGGTTCGGTTGCAATGTAGCCATGCGGATCTGAGCTTACCATTTCTTGCCATTTTGGCGAGGATCGCAGGAGCGTTTGTGTTGTGATCAACTGTGCTCGATACATCCAGCGGCAGCGTTTCATCCCAATATATTATTTTGAAAAAAGTCAGCAGGGGCCAAATTGCTGATGTGAAGCAACATAGGTCTCATGCATCTTGGCGTCCACTGATTTGAACGTCGCGCTCTCTATCGCAAGATGATCGAAGCCCATGAAACCCAGGGCACCCTGGAGGCAAGCAGGGTGTTTCTTGGCATGGGTCTCCACTGTAGGGGGGTCCTGCATGGGCCCAGGGTGTTTCTTGGCATGGGTTTCCACTGCATTCGGGTTGACTGTGCCCCATCCTCGGCGCACATGAAGCCGCTCTTGCCCGCGAAATAGATCCCCTCGCCCGAGCACTTGGTCACGTAGCCTGCCGCGTCGCCTGGCGCGGGGGGGGCGGGCGACCCGCATCTGCGGGCCGAAGCCCCACGGCCAGTCCCTCACGATCGTTCTCATCATCGCTCTAGAGGTCGTCAACCCCGCCGCGCGACATCATGTCTTTCTTCCGGCGCAATATTTTGGGAGAGGGAGGGAGGAGGGAAGTACAGGGAGCGCGCGAAGCACCAGCCAAAGGATGTCTATGTGTCGAGGATCAGACTGCTGGCAGCCGAGCGTACGCAAACTCACGCAACCTGCAGGCCCGAACAAACACCCTGGACTGCGGAAGCGACACAAATGTGTAAATCAACCCCGCTGCGCCACATCTTCACTGCCGACCATCGGGAACATCGCATCTGCTGCTCCTCAATGTGGCTGTCCTGGTCATCCCGGCAGCCGACAAACCAGGAGGCTGCCCATCATCCAAGACACGGTCGCCCCTCACGTCACACACTGCATCCGCCCTCATCTTCTCTTCATCATCATCATCATCATCATCATCATCATCATCATCATCATCATCATCATCATCATCATCATCATCATCATCAGCATCATCATCATCATCATCATCATCATCATCATCATCATCATCATCATCATCATCATCATCATCATTATCATCATCATCATCATCATCCTCATCCTCATCCTCATCCTCATCATCATCCTCATCCTCATCCTCATCATCCTCATCCTCATCCTCATCATCATCCTCATCATAATCATCATCACCATCAGCATCATCATCATCATCATCAGCATCATCAGCATCACATTCATCATCATCATCATCATCATCAGCATCGTCATCTTATGCATCATCACCATCGTCATCAGCATCATCATCATAATGTTCATCGTCATTACCAGCATCATCATCGTAATCAACATCATCATCATCATCATCAGCATCGACATCAACATCAACATCATCATCATCATCATCATCATCATCATCATCATCATCATCATCATCATCATCATCATCATCATCATCATCGCCACATCACCTCCCCAGACCTCGCCTTCCTGTCTTCCTCTCCTTCTTCTACTCCGCGCAGCCCCTGCCCCATCCCCCTCATCCCCCCACCCTTCCTCCCCATCCCTTCGCGCTCCTCGCCTCGCTCCTACCCTCCACAAACTCCTCCCACCTCTCTTCCTCCTCCCTCCTTCCTCCCCTCCTCTCTCCTCGCTCCCGTCCCTCAGAATGGCGCTCTCGCCCCACCGGGAACCACAAGTCTGGATCCGGGTTAAATCCTCGTCGTTATCGCCCCGCTGATTTCCCCTCGTCCGCTTTCCCCTCGTCCTCCGCTCATCCCAGTCCTCGTGCTCCTGCTACTACTCCTGCTGTTTCTTCTCGTCCTCCTCCTTCCTCGTCATCATGCTCTTCCTCGTCCTCATCCTCTTTTGAATCAGCCTCCTCCTCCGATGTATACACATGGCCTTCTCTGGTTGCGCATAGCACAATGGGACGCTTTGAGGGGTTCCAGGTACGCTATACCACACATCGGCAGAGAGAGGGACAGAACGACAGAGAGAGAGGGACAGCGAGAGGTAAGAAAGCGCAACGCACTGGGAAGTGATGTGTAGGGATGGGTCGGCTGTCCGTCATGGCACGTGCGCGCTTAGCTTGCCTCCCCCCCTCTCGCTCGATCCCCCCTGCCTAGGGGCCTCGGGGTGTAGGAGGTCCGAGATCGGGTCGGAGGATCGCGCCGTATCGCCAACGCTTCGCCGAAGCATCGGCTACGTCGGCGATGAATCGGCCCCTATCGGCGTGAAGAAACTCTGGCTCCACATCGAGCCGCGTCGCCGATGCGGCGATGCGGAGGGATCCTTCGACCCCATCTACTCGGACCCTATCTGGGAGGCCTAGACTGCCTCCCCCTCCCCTAGCCCGTTGGGAGGGGACCGAAGTTAGGATGGCCAAAGACTTGAGGGTTACGGGGTCTTCATTTTCTGCAGAACAAAGGCGGGGACCCAAGTGAGGCCCCGTCTTCACTACATTATTAGGGTTCGGGGCTCTTTATCCTCGATGACCTTCCGCTCGCATCTCTCCGCTCCCCCGTCCTTTCCCCCAGCCCCGCCAACGAGCCTTTCCCAGGCCGCGGCGACGGGCACCCCCAGAGAAGCCCCCCAAGAACGGACAGCCTCCGACCGCGAGGGTGCCGCCGACGCCCTCGCCGCCAGGCCCTCAGGAGGCAACTCGCGGGAGGTCCACGGAGCTTCCTGATTTGACTACCTACCAAACTCCCAACCCGAAGACCCGAATTTCGGGTTGGGGGGGTACGGGCTCCATGTGTTTTCAATGTTCCCCGACCCCCACCCACTGGAATTGGAGGGCAAATCGGGGCCTTCGGGTTGGGTTGAGATGGTTGGGTGGGCGGTGATGACTGCGCTCGGTGATCTACTGACCCGGGTCAATCCCATACCCGGTCAGTCGGGCTTTACATGATCCTGCCTGCAAAATCCTGCAGGATCCTGCAAGATCCTGCACGCAAGCCAGGGTCCACGCAACCCTGGCTCTGCAGGATCCTGCAAGATCAGGCGCTCCGACTGGTCCCTGGCTGTATTGACCCCCGTTTATTGAGCCCGGATGCGGTATGGTGTCTGGGAAAACCAAGAGGTACTGATACCGCTACTCCTTGCTCCTCTCCCGGAGCGCGTTCTGACCATGATTTTGAGGCGAACCCAGCGGTGGCAGCGAGGGCCTCCGAGGAGGCCCAAACAGGGGAAAACGGGCGAAGGGTAGAGGTATGGGTAGCTTTTGCAGAGGCATCTTAAATGAGGCGGAGTAGATGGGTTCGGAGGATCGCGCCGCATGCATCGGCGATGCATCGGCGATTCTCCGGCGATGCATCGGCGATGCATCGGCGATGCACCGGCGATACATCGTCGACGTCGACGTGAAGCAAATCAGGCTCCGCATCGGGACGCAACGGCGATGCATCGGCGATGCGGCGCGATCATCTTAACCCTTCTACTCCGACCCCATCTAGCAGGCCTAGATGTTTCTCCTCCTTCTCCTCCTCCTCCTCCTCCTCCTCCTCCTCATCGTCCTCATCGTCCACTCCTCGTCCTCCTCAACCTCCTCGTCCTCCTCGTCCTCGTCCTCGTCCTCGTCCTCCTTCTCTTCCTTCTCTTCCTCCTCCTCCTCCTCCTCCTCCTCCTCCTCCTCCTCCACCCCTGGGGCTTCGTAAAAGGACTGAAAGTCACACGGCCAGATCGTGGGCTGGACCACACGGGCCCAGATGCAAGGCACCGGGGACTTTAGTAATTAGACCAGGACGTTGGCCCACCCGAGGAAGCTGCAACTAAGTGTCGAAACATAATAAATTCTTGGTTCGATCCAACTGGAATTGACCTCACTATCGATCTCACTCAACGGGACACAACGGGACACCACGGGCCACCACGGGACACCACGGGACACCGCGGGACACCTCTCGATCTCACTATCGGTCTCACTATCGACCTCACTATCGATCTCAATCAACGGGACACCATAGGACACCACGGGACACCTCGGGACAACACATCGATCTCACTATCGATCTCACTATCGATCTCACTATTGATCTCACTCAACGGGACACCACGGGACACCTGTCAATCTCACTATTGATCTCACTATCGATCTCACTTTTTGGGACACCACGGGACACCACGGGACACCTGTCGATCTCACCATCGATCTCACTTTTTGGGACACGACAGGACACCACGGGACACCTCGGGGCACCATATCGATCTCAATATCGATCTCAACATCGATCTCACTATCGATCTCACTATCGATCTCACTAAACGGGACACCACGGGACACCACGGGACACCGCGAGCCACCGCCGGACGGACGGACGGACGGGCGGGAGGGGGAGAATCATTTGTCTTCACCTCGCCCTATCAACGGCGGACACCACGGGACACCACGGGACACCGCGGGACACCGCGGGACACCGCCGGACGGGCGGGAGGGGGAGAATCATTTGTCTTGACCTCGCCCTAGCAACGGCGGACACCACGGGACACCACGGGACACCGCGGGCCATCGCCGCACGGGCGGGAGGGGGAGAATCATTTGTCTTGACTTCGCCCTAGCAACGGCGGACACCACGGGACACCACGGGACACAGCGGGACACCGCCGGACGGACGGACGGACGGGCGGGAGGGGGAGAATCATTTGTCTTGACCTCGCCCTATCAACGGCGGACACCACGGGACACCACGGGACACCGCGGGACACCGCGGGACACCGCCGGACGGGCGGGAGGGGGAGAATCATTTGTCTTGACCTCGCCCTAGCAACGGCGGACACCACGGGACACAACGGGACACCGCGGGACACCGCGGGCCACCGCCGCACGGGCGGGAGGGGGAGAATCATTTGTCTTGACTTCGCCCTAGCAACGGCGGGTTCATTCCTCTGGCGTGCCCACGCAACTTCGCCTCGCCCGTACGCACGACACGAACGAAACGAAACGATTTCCCGGTTGGGGGTCTCCGTTCCACTGCGATCTCATCCCCCAACGTCCGATATGAGAAGAAGGGGCCATTAACTGCGATTAAACTCAATGTCGACCCAGACTGACGGGACATACCGGCACCGATGCTGAACCTGACCTCTCAGGAGTTGCCTCCTGCAGCCCCCTGGAGAAGTAATGCAACTGTGGTGAGCCTTGTCGAATAATCGTCCAGGGGACTTCCCTAACTAGCGGTAACTTCTCCTCCAGTGTCGGTGGCTGATAGCCTCTGGGCCCGAAAAAGGTGTCCAGAGGCCAGCACCACAAATTATTCTTCTTCGAGCGATCCTCAAATCAACCTGACGCGTTCATTCCCGACAACGCGCGGTCGCCTACTTGGTCGACAATTGCCGTTTCTAGATTCAAAACGGCTCAACCGTGTTCCATGCAGTCACGCTGTTTCAGGTGATGCTCTATTATGTACTGTCACGTTCTCGACGGGCTGGCGTGACGTCGTGACGCCTGTGACGTTAGATGCGTCGTCTGTCATGCTGTTCCTCTTCACTTAACTATGAATTTCTCTTCTGATTCAGTATGTTGTGTCATGCTCATCTCTGTCACCACATGGTTTGATATGTTATGGTACGATTTGCTCTGTGGAATAGTGTTCTGACACGGTATGCTATTTAAATTTATGGTACAATGTGCTCTGTTCCGCGATGCTGTTCCGTTCTGTCATGTTCTGTTCTGTCATACTGTGTTCTGTCGTGTTCGTCAAGGGCGCGAGGCGGGACACCCGGGACTCTCAGGGATCATCGGGATAACCTGAGGGGTAAGCTGGGGTCTGGCGGCCGCGGCATGCGTGGTGCGGTTGGCCAGGCGCGAGGCGAGACACCCAGGACTCTCGGGGATCGTCGGGACAAATTCGGGTCTGGCGGCCGCGGTATGCAGGGTTGGGTGGGCTGGGCGCGAGGGGCGGGATAATCTAGATTTTTGGGACAACTTGGGGTCTGGTGGCGATGGTGTGCAGGGTGGGATTGGCCGGGGGGCCTGTTCTTGAAATCTAACAACCCCGAACTGTCGGGTAGAGAACAAGAAGCCGAAGGCGACGAAGATCACTTACTCGACGACTAGAGATGCAGTACTGTTGCAGGGTTGAGGGAACCAAAAGGTACCGATCCCGCCACTCCCCGGACCTCTCCCAGGGTGCGTCATGACCAGGATTTCGGGGCGAATCCAACGGTGGCCCAAAAAGGGGAAAACGGGGGAAGGGTAGAGGTATGGGTAGCTTTTTGAGAGGCCTCCTAGATCGGGTCGGAGTAGATGGGGTCGGAGGATCGCGCCGCATCTCCGATACATCGGCGATACATCGGCGACGCATCGGCGATGCACTGGCGATGTTTCGCCGACGTCGGCGATGCGTCGGCGACGTCGACGTGAAGCAATCGTGATGCATCGGCGATGCGGCGCGATCCCCCGACCCCATCTACTCCGACCCCATCTGGGAGGCCGCTACAACGGGGGCAACGGGGAAAGCGACGGGGATCAATGTTTTGATGGTGTTCCACATGTTTAGCGACCGACCGTGGCCTTCCAGAACCTCCGAGGATCTCCAAAAACCCCTGCCCCTCCGCTGCCGCCTCCTCTCCCTCCTCCTCCTCCTCCTCCTCCTCCTCCTCCTCCTCCTCCTCCTCCTCTGAAGGGCAATGGCAGCGACCAACGCCGCGCCCCCCCCCCGCAGGGCTGGCCGATCAGGGTGCAGCGCCCCTTCGTCCTCCACGGGCGGGGGTGCTCCGGGATGGGGTGGGCCTGTGCGCGCGGCGCCCGCGCGGCGAGGCTAGGCGGGGGGAGCTCCGAGGTTTCCGCTGCCGCGCGGCAGCACACGCGGCGGCGCGGCCGGAAGGCGTCGCCTCCGTCTCCGCCTCCGCCTCCTCCTTCTCCTCCTCCTCCTCCTCCTCTTCCCCCTCCTCCTCTTCCTCCCTCCCTCCCTCCTCCTCCTCCTCCTCCTCCTGCCCCTCCTCCTCCTCCTCCTCCCTCCCTCCCTCCCTCCCTCCCTCCCTCCCTCCCTCCCTCCCTCCCTCCCTCCTCCTCCTCCTCCTCCTCCTCCTCCTCCTCCTCCTCCTCCTCCCTCCTCCTCCTCCTCCTCCTCCTCCTCCCTCCTCCTCCTCCTCCTCCTCCTCCTCCCTCCTCCTCCTCCTCCTCCTCCTCCTCCTCCTCCTCCTCCCCTCCTCCTCCTCCTCCTCCTCCTCCTCCTCCTCCTCCCTCCCTCCCTCCCTCCTCTCTCCCTCCTTCCCTCCCATCCTCCTCCTCCTCCTCCACCTCCTCCTCCTCCTCCTCTTCCTCCTGCGTCTCCTGGAACATTGGAAACTGGAAGTTGGAAGCTGGGACGGGTGCAGGGTACTGGAAACTGGAACTGGTGACCCTCATTCTCGCAGCCTGAGAGCCCCGCACGGGGGCCGGCGGATATCTGCAGATGCGGCGATCCTGCTCCTCCTCCTCCTCCTCCTCCTCCTCCTCCTCCTCCTCCTCCTCCTCCTCCTCATCCTCCTCATCCTCCCCTTCCCCCTCCTGGGGTGCGTTCTGACCAGACATTCCACCATCATCCAGAAACGGGGCGACGAGAAGACCTTCAGAGTCCCCAGGAGGATGGCACATGCAAGGAAACCTCGAACCTCGAAGCCCTCGATCGACGACGACCGACCCCCGATCTCTTTGAAGAGAACCCGACCGTGGCCGCGAGTGCGCCGTCCCCTGGGAAACAAAAAACCCAGAGCTCGCCTCGACCCTTGGTCGGAGACGACAACGCTGATGCGGTCGACGACGACGACGGCGGCGGCGACGGGGCGCGGCGGCGACGGGGCGCCCACGACGGCGACGACGGGGCCAGATGACCGCCGATGCGATCTTTTCAGCCCGCGGCCCCAGCCGTCGCGGACACTCCCCCAGGGGCAGTGTCTCGACTCGGATCGGTGGTCGATGGCCCAGGGGGCCCACAAGTAACCTCCAGGGGCAGAAGCCGAGGAACAACACCCGCCAGAGCTGAAACAACTAGACCTCGTCGGAGATCTGGGAGGTGAAACGACGAAGACGACGACGACGAAAGGGAAACCTAAATATACCGGTGCCAATTCTCTCCGCACGTCTCCCCGGGTGTGTTCGGACCAGAACTTTGAGGCGAATCCGGCTGCGGCCAGGAGGGCCTCCCAGGAGACCCCGAAAGGTGAAGACGAGGCAAGCGGCCTCGGTGTCTATGCGGGGGCCCCAGAGGTCTGGACCCTTTCCATAGTGAGCGTGTTCTTACTCGGCGTTTCGACATTGGGCGGAAGGGGGGGGAGGGAGGGGGGGTATGGCTCCGGACCTCTGATTGATGCGACTGTTTGCAGCAGTGCGTCCTGTGGGGGAGACTCCGCCTGCTCGAAACAGGCGCCAAAAACAGCCACGATCTACTCTATGGGGGGTGAGGGGGGGTGCAAGGGCCCGCGCCGATCGGCTAAACGACGAATAAGACAACGATCAGATAAAGGGCTGGTGTTTCATTCCGAGTCGGTCTTCGGCGCTTCGGGGCCGGGCAAGGGCCCCCGGATGCTCCAAAAAGGAGAACCTTCCGTCGTGTTGTCTGCACGACGCGAGCATGTCCGGCTGGCTCGAGCTGAGTCGAATCGCGAAATGTGATCGGACTGGAAGCGGACCGGATCGTCAACGATGATGGGCCTGTTTTTCACCACCACCACCATAAGTTGGAGGGGGCAAGGAGGTGGAGGAGGAGGCAGAGGTGGACGAGGTGGAGAAGGAGGAGAAGGAGGGGAAGGAGGAGGAGGACCCCCTTCCCCTCAAGCTTATGGTGGTGGTGGTGGAAAACAGGTCCAGCAAACGAATCGTCAAGATTCAAATCGAAATCAGATCTCTGAGCGGAATCGGACCAGCATCGCAGGCCCAGTCCGCGAAGCGAATCGCATCGCATCGGATCGTAGGCGGCCATGTCTGCTTGAAGGCTGCTGGAGGGTCTGAACTGGACGACCCCAAGAGAAACCGGCGAAGAAGTGGGGATAAGGGCAAACGCGCTCACAATGGATCCCCAGACCCCTCCCGGAGTCCATCTTGTGCCGCTCTTCATCGTTGGAAGATCCCGGGGCCCGAAAGCGGCCCCCGAAGGCCAGAAAAGGCAAAGGCCTTCCTGAATCCAGAGCCCCGACTCCCCCGCTTCCGGCTCGTCGAAAGCAGTGCTGTGCGACCTCGGACCCCCCGACGGGCAGCAAATCGAGCCGCCTCGTCACTCTCGCTGCCATCAGGGTACTTTGCTGGGGTACCCATCGGTCGGCAGAAGGAGGCAGGAACATGAAGTAGGAAGGCGTTGAAAATAGATTGGGCCCCGTGCGCCCCCTACGGAGGACGGAAAAGGTGAAGCCACTCGATCATTGAAGAAGGAAGGCACTTAAAGTAGACTGGAATCTGGGACTCCAAAAATAACTACCTGCTTTCAACGACCGATGAGAAATGCTGATGCCGCTCTTGGCTCTTCGATCTGGGGGCCCACAGCATGACCAAAACACCACGACGTCGGGGGCATGCTCCAACTCTCTGCGGCCTCCACGCGGATGATCTCGCCACCCTCGATGCGGGGAGCTGCGCGGTCGCGAATGCCCTGCTGGTACCTCTGGATGCCCTTCTTGTCGATGACGGTGCCCGTGCCCACGGCGACGTGGTCGTACTGCGAGCCGGGCGCCGCGATCCTCCTCCTCCTCCTCCTCCATCCTTCCTCCAGCCCTCCTGAATACCTCCTGCCCTCCTCCTCCTCCTCCTCCTGCCCTCCTCCTCAGTTCCAGTCCTCCTCCAACCCTCCTCCTCCTCCTCCTCCTCCTCCCAATCCAGTTCTCTTCTTCTCCTTCTCCCATATTATCCTCCTGCTCGTCCTCCTCTGTTCCAGCTGCAAGGGAACACATCTGCGAGAGCTCTGCCTTCGGATTACCGTTGCACGATGTGCTGACTGGGGAATATTTCAGCGCCACATCGTGACCTGTCTCCGCCGTGTCGTCAATCAATTCATCCTCACCCTCCTCTTCCGCCTGCTCCTCCTCGCCCCCCTCCCCCCTCCTGCTGGTGCTCCTCCTGCTGCTGCTCATCTTCGCCCATGCCTAGGCTGCCCCGCGGATGACGCCCAGACCCAGGCTTCACAGCACAATCGGAGGAGGAGGAGGAGGAGGAGGGAGGAGGAGGAGGGAGGGCGGAGGAGGAGGAGGAGGAGGAGGAGGAGGAGGAGGAGGAGGAGGAGGAGGAGGGAGGAGGAGGAGGGGGAGGAGGGGGAGGAGGAGGAGATCCTGGCGTCGCATCGTCTGTTCGCACCGGGCGTGCTCGCCAGGCCTCGGGCCACGGGGCCCGCGCAGGCCAATATCTGGCTTGAGAGGCGCCACCGAGAGAGGAACCAGCCTCGGACTGATCCCCAACCCTAACATTGGGGAGCAAGCAACGATGGCAATCTGAACGGTGATCCCTAAGAAACGGCGGGGGATCCTTAAGATCGGCATCGAGGAGAGGCGATGCCAATTGCATGGGTGAGGATGTGCTTCGAACTTGTAAGAGATGGTGTATAAGGCTCTGGTCGTCATGTCTCACGTCTTCGCAATTCGTTCGCGACGTCGGAAATCAAGGACGGCATTTGTTTCCCCGTGCTCTGCAGGGGCAGCGATCGGGGGGGACTGGCACAGGGCGGATTCATCGACCTGGAATCGGCGATGCCTCGCCGATAGATCGGCGATAGGCCTCCGATAGCGAACCCGCACCTCTCTGGTCGGGGTGGGGCTATCAGACCCCTGTCAGCGATCAGTGAGCGATTAGGGGTCGATGCGTCCCCCCTAATGTCAGCTTGTGATTTACAAAATCCGTGGGGGGGGCGCGTTGAAAGATATAGTTCCACTGCTCGGGCGAATCGCGGGGTGGCGCCCACCAGATTGAAAATTAACGGGGCGGCGCTGGTGATTAGCGCCGACACCTGACCGCCAACGAGGAGCAATGGGGGGGTGTTTGGAGGCAAGGGCGAGCCAGGGCGCCCCTCCTCTGTCGAACCGATGCGGGCCTGCGGGCAAGGCTGGCTGGACGAAAGTGGGGCGCAGCAAAGGGGGGATTTGCCAAGCAGCTCACATCGCCGATTTTCCAAGCGCCTCCTGGCGCCGAAAGCGGCCATGCGTCGAGAACTGGCCTTTCGGCGGCAGCTGCGCGCAGCAGGCTTTACAACCCCCCCTCTCCTTCCCCAGCCCCTCGTCCGACCCGAACAAGGCGGGCAGTCCTCCTCCCCCCCTGTGTCGCGGTCGTCAGTGCCGCCGTCTCCCGCCCTGCCTGCGCCCTGCCTGCGGGTAGTCCTCCTTCTCCTCATCCTCGTCCTCGTCCTCGTCCTCCTCCTCCTTCCTCACCTCCTCCTCCTCTTCCCCGTCCTCCTCCTTTTCCTCCTTTCCCCCCCTGCCCCTCCTCCCTCCTCCTTCCCCCTGGCGAGCGTGATTTAAAGAAATATCGCGCCCCGCGGGGTCTTTTCATCAGCCCCGGGGGGGAGGGGGAGCGCCCCTTTTGTCAACCACAAGCTGACATTATGCCTATTCGCCTCTATCGTTGCCCTTGATGTTCGCCTTCTCAGGACCGTTTCCCGACACCGGGGCCATCAACAGATACGAGTCAGGACATAAAACACTGGCCCGGGAATGGGGTCGACAGCTCCGAGGTCCCACGGCGGGGCAACAGTGCGGCGTCGCAGGAGAGGGGATAACCAAGACATGCTCTGGCCGACCAGCCGCAGTACTGGTGGAGCTGTGTGGATTCCCCCTTCGGCCGTGAGCGAGGGGGGGGCGTGAGAAGGAGAAGGCCTTCTCAGAGGCGGCGGGGCTTCTCAGAAGCCCTACGGCTCTTCGAGCAGTCCTCCTCCTCCTCCTCCTCCGCCGCCTCCTCCTCCTCCTCCTCCTCCTCCTCCCTCCTCCTCCTCCTCCTCCTCCTCCTCCTCCTCCCCCCTCCTCCTCCTCCTCCTCCTCCTCCTCCTCCTCCTCCTCCCCCTCCCCCTCCCCCTCCCCCTTCGGAGGCGACTCAGAAGACTCCTCGGAAGGTCGGAGGACTTCCGAGCCTTCTGAGAAGGCCCGCCCCCTCTCAGTTCCCCCCCGCAGGCTGCCCGCCGATCACTCCCCATGGGGGACATCATCGTATCGATGATCTCTCCAGTCTGGTGCCGACGCCGATGGCCCCCCCCCCCTTGGGCGAGAGGAGAGGACCGCGGCCTCCCCCGTCGTGGCGGATCTGCGTTTGAGGAGCATGTCGATGTGTGCCTGCTTTTGAGCAGGCTTGGGAATGGACAGCGCCACCACAACAGGGGGGTGCGCTCACCGGGGGAGGGTGATCCTAGAGTTCGGTGTCGGTGGCAATCCTTCGGCCATCCAGGACGCCCGAATCTTACCACCATCACCGAGATTGGGATCGGCTTCCCTCGGTGGAGGCACACCGCCGATATTGGTGTTGGTGTCGACCTCTGGGCCTCCCCTCCCGTGGGGCCTGCCGTGGACACGGCGGCACGAGCGCGCAGCAGAGGGTAGGAGACGGTCGCCGTGCCGACATACAGGAAGGGGCTCGACCACGAGAAACCCAACCCTGAGACCCCAGGACGTCCATCGATGCCTGGCGTGGGAACGTCACGCTTTCCATGGCAAGACCATTCGGGGATGGACAGAAGCCCCTTTAGTAAAACGTGGTTTAGCGAAAACGACCTCGGGCCCAGACCTGGCGGGCGCAAGCCTGGAAAATTACGGCCGCAGCGCCCTCTCGAGAACCGGAAACGGACAATTCACTAATCGACGTGTCAGGGTCGGGGTTCTGTCCATCCCCGAACCATCGAGGCCCAAGGAGCCCAGGATACCCTGGAGGCAAGTGGGGAGCTTCTTGGCTCGGGCCTCCGCTGCAACGAATGCGGGATAGAGGAGCGGCGGGGTCTGTCGGGCCACGGCGAGCCTCGGCAATGAGCAGGTTCTCTGACCTAGATTGAGGTCGGGCCTGTGCTCCTACAGGCGGATTTCCAAGGTATATGTATACATACATACACACATACACATATAACAAATCGGGAACATAGTCAAACATAGTCAAAACAAACACCAAACATTGTCCCCAGACTATGTGTTTAAACAATTGTTGAATTGTACTCCTGTAGAGGGACACGCCCGACTTAAACCTAGATCCAAGGAGCGGCTCGAAAACCAAACCCCATCCTGAAACTGAAATGGTCCTGGTTTCAGCGTCTTGACTGCAGACCCATGGAAGGGTCCAGGAAGCTGCTGCGCAGAGCGAGGGGCGCACGAGGGACGGTGGCCGAAACGGCCCGAACACACTTCACGACATTGAGCTCGGTGCACTCCAAGAGCTCTCGTCTCAAAGGTAGCGGCTGCCATGATCAGTACTTCCATGCCCTTGTCGAAAGGAGGGGTGCGCAGAGCAATTGAAGGCTCAACACTGCAAACTCCTTGGGGAAGACCCACGCGTAGAAGTCCGGAGACACGTCCTCGCCGACGTACATCTCGGCCCTCTCCTTGTAGTAATCCATCTTCTTCTCGTCGATCGTCATGCGCTCCTTGCGAGACTGGGGGTAACTTCAGAGAGACGGGAATACTCTTTTTTTATGTTGACACGCAAAAGCTGATGTTTGGAGCATGCGCTGGAGGGAAGGGAAGAGAGAGAGAGAGAGAGAGAGACGGAGAGGGAGAGAGAGAGAGAGAGGGAAAGAGAGAGGGAAAGAGAGAGAGAGAGAGAGAAACAACAAAATAAAGACAGAGAAAGAGAAAGAGAAAGAGAGAGAGATAGAGAGAGCGCAAGAGAACGAGAGAGAGAGAGAGCGAAATAGCGAGAGAGGAAGAGAACGAGAGAGAAAGGCACAAGGAGAGAGGGAGAGAGAGAGAGAGAGAGAGACAAAAAAAAAACGGAAATACATTGTAGAACTCCCGCCTGCGCACATCCCACGAAAACTGGACCGTCAGAATCCAGGACGCGCTCGTCCAAAAAAGCGTCGGCAGACCCGAGCTCCGGCGCACTCGCCGGGGGCGGCCAAAGAGGGGGGCGTCCAAGAGGGGGGCGCAAATCATGGCCGGCGGCATGTGCGCGGCCCAGAGGGGAGGCCAGGGACGTCATGAAATGAGAGGAGGCGCCAGGAAATCTGGGGAGATACCATGACCCCCGCCGTGGCCGCCCCCGAACTCGAGTCTCACGCTTCCCCCCAGCGAGGCTAAAAATGCGAGAGAAGCGGGGCAGGCAGCGGCAAGGGTGGGGCTCGCTGCTCGGCATGCCCTCGGCCCTCCGCCCCAGGGCGAGGCCCGCGCCCCCCTCCCCGCGAGGGGGGGGGTCCTGGAAGGCGATGGCGTACTCGTAGTCGCCCGCCTCGATCTCCTGGGCGTGGGGGCGGGGCCCGCCCCTCTCCGCCCCGTGGCCCCCGTCTGTTTACTCCGACCGGCCGGCCGACCGTGCCCCCCCAATCCGCCCCGTCGCCCCCGTCTGCTTATCCCCGCCGACCGACCGTGCCCCCCCCCCCCCCCCCCCCCCCCCCCGCCACGTGGCCCCCGTCTGCCTCTTCCAACCCATCGACCGACCGACCGTGCCCCCCCCCCTGCCCGACCGTGCCCTCTCCCGCCCCCCTGCTCGATGCTCGCTGTAGTAGCTGGGGGCCTTCGCAATCCCAGGACCAGAGCTCCTCTGTCCAGGAGTCAGTTGTCCGTCGGTGTCGGCCTCGGGGGTAGACTTTCGGGCCCAAGGGGCCATCAAACATTGATCCTGGGGGCGGGACCAGCAGCACGGAAGGGGTCGGGACCTCTGTAGAGTGCCAACAAAAATCCCCCCCCACAATATTCACGCCGACGAGCGGAGCCGTTCAGTAAACGCACGCGAAGAAGGAAGCGAGCAGGGTAGGGCTGTTTAGTCGACGCGCAGGGCCGTTCAATAAACGCCAATTTCGCGTCTGGGTGGAGTTCCTTCCCTTGACTCCGGGGCAGATCCTTGAACATTCAGATCGTCGGATGCCTCCTCGGTCTTCGTTCCCAGGACCTTCCCGGCGCAACTCGCTCCACTCATGCGTCGATGCTGCGTCGAGCGCCCGTCGACTTGAGTCGAACTCGAGGCGGACTAGACGCTGCGAGACGAGCTGGAGCCGAACCGGAGTCGAACAGATGCGTGAGGCTGGCCCCAGGGAGGGGCCCACGACGAACATCTATTAGATTTAGGTCGGGCATGCCGCCCTGCAGGCGGATTCTGGACGAAAAATAAGACACAGCAAAAACATATTCCAAAATAGCCAGCGACCACAAACAATTGTCCCCAGACTGTGTTCCTACTATGTTTGAAGACTCCTCCTGTAGAGGGACGGGCCCGACAGAAGATTCGCTTATGTGTTTGTTGTGTGTGTGTGTGTGTGTGTGTGCGTGTTTGTTTAGGTGTTTGGGGGCGGGGGCCTTCCTGGGGCCGAGGCCGCTGCGCGGGCGGAGCAGGAAGGGCCGGGCCGAGCGCAGGGCGGCACGAAGCAGGGCGGGGCAGGGCGAACGTTCACGCACCCCTCCAAAAATTTGAAGGGGCCCAGGGACACACAAAGAAATACACACAGATCCCAAGATTCTCCCCATGTTTCCGTAGTTTCTGCATGTTCCTTCCCCCCCACATCCCATAGTTTCCAATATTTGCCGGGGGGGTGACGATGAATTGTGCCTGTGTGTTTTTCCCTCCTGAAAACTAGCCTTTGTGTGTGTACGTGTGTATGTGTGTATGTGTTTTTTTCCTTTTTCCTGTGCTGATCTAAGGGCGGCAGTCGGACTGGCTGGCGGTGCCCCAGATCGAATCAACACCAGCCAGCCACGACTGGGGGGTGGGGCGGGCGTGCTCCGGACCCCCTGCCCGGGAGGGAGGGGGGGGGGGCATCCCGCGGCCGCTCAAACGGGGTCCGCGTTGCTGGCGTCGGAGGGTGGCGCCCCATCGCCAACGCATCGGCGACGTCCGATGTCAGGATGGACAAGGCTCACTCCGAATTGGGCCGCGCATCGCGAAAACATCGGCGATGGCGGCGCGATCCTCCGACCCCGTGTGGTCGGGACCTCCTTTGGCAACCCCGACGCGCCGTATGACCTGGCTGGACCTCCGAAGATCCCCTGCGAGCAGGGCCGGATCTCTCCTTGGCAACCCGGCTGTTCGCGCCGTCCGCGCCGATGACAACATCGACCTCGGCACGAACCCAAAATCCAGAGGCAGCTGGTGCAAAGAGGATAGACTGACCCTCCTCCTCCTCCTCCTCCTCCTCCTCCTCCTCCTCCTCCTCCTCCTGCTCCTCCCCCCTCCTCCTCCTCCTCCTCCTCCTCCTCCTCCTCCTCCTCCTCCTCCTCCTCCTCCTCCCCTCCTCCTCCTCTCTCCTCCTCCTCTCCTCCTCCTCCTCCTCCTCCTCCTCCTCCTCCTCCTCCTCCTCCTCCTCCTCCTCCTCGCCTCCGCCTCCGCCTCCGCCTCCTCCTCCGCCTCCTCCGCCGCCTCCTCCCTCCTCCTCCTCCTCCTCCTCCTCCTCCTCCCCGCCCACGTACGCCAGGGAGAAACAACTGCATAAGCAGAACATGTCAGAGTTCCACGTGGAATTCTCGGATCGGCGCTGGGCCCCCCTGGCGACGCCTCCGGCGCCGCCCCTTATCGCGCTCCGCGCGCCAGGGAGGGGAGCCCATCGCCGATCCCAGAACTCCGCGCGGAGGTCCGAACATGTACGTTCACGCATTTCTTCCTCCATCCAAAGATGATGGACTGATGCCCAGCGTCGTGCAAAGGGAGTGGCTCGGACGTGCACACGACAGGTCCTCGCATTGTGCTCCAACTCGTGCGCACTGTTGCATGAATTCCGCTCCGAACTCTGCTCTCACAACCTGAGTGCCTCCCGCTGCTTTTTGACGTTCGGCAAATTTAGATCGACTGGGATCGTGACATCAGGAGGATGTAAAAGAAACGGCATGGCAAGTACATCCGACTTAGGCGGAGTGGATAACACATTAAACTACAAGAGAACGCGGAGAAGAGATGGGCGGACATACACCGAAAACACAAACGGGGTGCATGCAAGGGCGTAGCCTCCCGCAGCGCCTCCTCCTCCTCCTTCTCCTCATCCTCACTCGTATCCGTTCCATCTCGCAAGCCCCAATCATACTAGCATGTGCCCCAAACGAGCGTCTCAACCTCGACATGCACTGCCCATTCAAACTCATCCCCTTGCTCACTTTTCGACCAAACACAACCACGGGGAAGCCGTGCTCCCTTACCACCCGCTGGAGGAACCCATCGTATCGGCGATCTCTCGAGAAGGGTGTCGAAGCCGATGAACCCCATGGGTGGCAAGAACTACAACCTCCCAGTTGAGCAATCGAAGAAAGGTCCTTACGCATGAGGACGCGGCGGTCTAACAAGAGGTGGCCTGGGTATGGAAAGAAAGAGCGCCTACGAACGGCCCCACGTGGGCGGCCTACGTGTTAGGCAGAAAAAGCCTCGACGTCACCACCGTGCCTGGCCAGGGCCACCTCAGGCCCCTGGCATGGTGCACATGCCCTCGTGGCCTCGGCCGAGAGGGCTTGTACACACACCATGCCAGGGGGCCCAAGGATCCACGAGCGGCGAATGGATCCGTATCCGCGCCCTCGCGGTCTGGATTCTGGGGCGAAATCCCGCGGGTGCGCAGTCGCGCGGATACGTTCCGCGCGGGGCACCCGCGAAACAACACCTTATGATCCGCGGGGTCGCGGCCAAAGGGCCTGGCCCGCGAGGCCGCGGATGCGGACGTGTTTTTTCCGCCCACGAGGCATGGCCCCGGCCAGGCATGGCGGCCGCTGGGTGCCGGCCTCACACCGAGCTGCGGAGGCGGGGTGCGGGCCCGTCGGCCGCCCGTGGCGCCGCGTGCTCGGCCGGTGGCCAGCAAGCAGAGCTCACGGCGCTCCTGCCCGCTGGGGGGGTGCGCGCTCACCAACTCCGAGCGAAGCGCTCTCTTGGTCAGGCGTGCGGGGTGCCAGGGCCACCGTTGTATCCACCGCTGCTGTCCAGGCATAGGCCGGGCATGTCCCCCTGCAAGCGGATGGAGTAGGAGAAACGGAACAAGAAACAAAATCAACATTTGTCAGGAACATCATCGGAAACGTGTCCCCTGCTATTTTTGGTCCTCCCATTGTTGAACATTCCTCCTGCAGAGCCCGATGTGAGTCCAGGCCCCTCCTGGGCCCAGGAGCGGTGCGTGTACGCCTCCCCATGGCTTGGCCGAGGAGAGGCGTGCACACCGCCCCTGGGCCCAGGGGGAGCCTGGCCAGCGGCGGTGGCGATGTGTACAGTCGAGGCGTTGACCCAAGGAACCCCACATGAGGAACGAGGCCCCTGTCTTGGCGGCGCGCACGAGGAGGTGCGGGAGGGGGGATGGCTTCTTAGAAGGAGGCTGCTCCTTAGTAGGCGCCGGCCGTACATCTACAGATGAGGCCCGCGCCTTCTAAGAAGCAGCGGTGCTTCTAGGAAGCCCTCCCCCCTCCCCCCAGCCCCTCTGCGCGTGGCTGAGTACAATCGAGGCGTTGACCTGAGAAACCCTAA